ATCTATAGATATATCTCTAGATAGAATATCTCTCTCTCTCTCTCTATCTCTCTCTCTCTATCTCTCTCTCTATCTCTCTCTCTATCTCTATCTCTCTCTCTCTCTCTCTCTCTCTCTCACTCACTCACTGTCCTTATGGTGTGTGTCTAAAGTATGTATTTATGTTTTTATTCTCCTTCCAGACTTGTGGTGGTTCATCATTGTGGCTGTGGGTTTAGCCACACTTTTAATAATCACTGTGGCTGTCATCAGATGGAAGAAAACTAAAGGTGAGAGCAACCAGGAAACTCTTATAAGAAGACATTTGGATAGACCTGGATTTTCACAGTGGTCACTAACTTTTCAGGGAACAGAACACAGATGGATAAAAACAAAGTGAGTTTAAACCTCCAATAATCAAATGCTTATTATATTGTATTGACACTACTCAGTAATCCAATACCAAATATTTCAGATTCAGAATATATTTAGGGAATAACAAATTCACAGCATGACACGCAGTTTGTTCTATAATAGTTAAATGGAATACTATGACTATGACTGTGACTGTGACTGTGTTTTCCCAGAGACTGAGCTTAAACCCTGCAGAGACTCCAGAAACCAGTCAGGACACGGTGAGATCACACACTACACCCAGTACAAACCTACATTTTTTTTCAAACTTCCTTCTGCAACAGAGAAAAGGGGAAGTAAATCATGCAACTACTCTAGAATGCCCACAGTCAGTACAGCATGTTGTCCTCTCTGTGCAGGCGGATCCTGAAGATGGGGTTTCCTACGCCTCCGTCAGCTATAGGACGACCAACAGCAAAGCCCTGGTAAGCTCTCTGATTGGTTGGCAGTGAATGAACAAGACTAAGATTCTGCAACCATGTCAGTGCCTCTTTGAGGCTGCACAGAGACGGTTTTTGAGCTAAATGCGTCATACAGCATGCTAACCACATCCACAATGCTAACATGCTCACACTGACAATGCTAGCATCATGCTGATGCTAATCTTTGCCACAGTATCTCAGCATCTTAGCACTAAACACAAAGTACAGCTAAGGATGATGGTAATGTAGTTTTGCAAGAATTTGGTCTAAGGTATTGGAGAAACTGACATTTTGAACAGAATTTGGCACTAGATGAAGAGTTAAAGGACCGTTGCTAAAAATCATGAGGGGGACTCATATTGCTGTACTACACATACTGTTAATTCATCTAACAATTGTTAAGACTTTTCACTTAAAACCATAAATGTTAACCTCATGGTGGCACTAGAGGAAAAGACAGGCAATCTCTATATTCTTTACAGGACCAATCTGTAGGATTTAGTGGAATCTAGTGGTGAAGTTGCAGATTGCAACAAACTGAATACCACTCACCTTCCATGCATGTAGGAGAAACTATGGTGGCCACAAATCTATCTAGAGGCAGCATTTGGTTTGTCTAGAATGGGCGAACACTGTTTGGGTGTATTGAACTCATAGATTACGATTATGGTGTGTTTATGTATGTTTTGTTGTATTTCATTGCATCATTGTGTTAATTTGTTGTTCAGTGTCAGGGTGACGCTTTGCTCTGCTTTACCGTTGTGTTGGATTACAATGTGCTGAATTATGTTGTGCCATGTCCTGTTGTGTAATTTATGTGTCGTGCTGTTTCTCTTTTATTTTAAAGGTTTGCGATAAAGGTGATGATGAAGCAGTGACCTACGCCACTGTGAAAGCTTCCTCTTCTTCTGCTGGAGCCTCTGCTGATCCCAGCAACCTCTACGCCACCGTCAACAAACCAAACAAATAAGAGACCACAGTATAGTTACAGCTCATATCATCACACTTATTTAAGTTTGTTTTTTTCACTCATACTGTGTTGTATTATAAGATTGTATATGCAGTCAAAATCCTACAGAGTGTTTAAAATATATTTATATTTTTGAGCATAACTTGGCTTGGCAGCTGAGGTTGTTACTATATATGATAATATTGTAGTTTTGCATTTCAGTTTTCACATGAACATGTGAGCATGTTCTTTCTGTTGCAATTATTTTTATGATAATTTTTAGGAGTGGGCTTTTCTGTCCAGAAGGGGGTGTAGTAGGTTAACAAGTAGCATAATGGAAAAAGCAGAAGTAAGAACTTGACCTTCATACCACTGGTTTCTTGAATAATAAGAAAATAATTACATTATCTCTTGTAAACTTTATTGAGCTCCTTAATGGGCTTTGTCACTTTTATTCTGTGAAACACATTTAAAAATAAACTCAAAACTCATCTTTTTGCATCAGTTTTCTGCCCTTAATACTAAACTACAGTCATCCAACGTATACTGCATTTTTGCATGTGTGTTGACAACTCTCCCTTCTCTATCTTTTTGTATGTTGCTATCATTGTTGTATTTTGTACGCATTTTGGTTTATTTAATTTTTTTGGTTTCGTCTCATGAAAAACTTTATATACACGTGTTCATAGTTTTTGTTTTTTAAATTTACTTTGTATGTACTTTGTCTGTATCATGTAATGGTATGGTGTTTAATTTGAGCTAAAAATAAAGATGAGATTACGTGGGTTTGTGCACATCTTATTTATCACCCATGAGAGTTGTGTTAATCAACCAAATGGAAGTAAGTGATCTACTTCCTGTGACTGGGTGTCACTTCCTCATTTTGACACTTTTTGTGTCTGTCGCTGTACAAATCAGTCAATGTTGAGGTGCAGAAGGTGACCTTAACTTCACAGCAGGAAAAAAGACAGTCGAGAGAGTGAGGGAAAGAGATAGAGAAGCATGATGGCTGAATTCAGAAGGATTAAAATATTTTTTTTACTGACACCAGTGCTTCAGATTACAGGTACAGACATAAACTTGTAAGTTACTTTTTTAAGTGTTTTTTTAACATTGATATTTGTAGAGATAAAACAAGTTTTTAAAAGATGGACACTCAAATGGGTGCCTTTTTTTCTTTCGTTGTCTGTCTGTTCCTGTGAGCCTTGAGTCATTCTGATGCTTTTCTGATCATCATTAGAGGGTAAAACCTCCAGAGCTCTGCTGCTGTTGTTAACCACATTCTCACTGAAAAACTTCCCACTCTTACGACAAAGCTATAATGAGGAATCAGTGTGTCACAGACTAACTGTATTTATAGAAATCATTCAAAATCCAGAACATTTCAGAAGCATTACATTAAGAGATCATTATAAACACAAAGTACTCGTGGCAGTGGGGGGAGAGGAAGTGCATTGTGGTTTCAGCGGTTAATGGGTGGAAAGAGTCACCTGCAACTCCAACCACCTCTGACTTCCTATGTATTTACTCTTACACATGCACACATAAGATACTGTATATTTGTATATATATACTATATATATATATATATAGTATATTTTTTGGCTCATGATATACAGTAACTGCAAACATTTTTAAGAGAAGAAACCCTGATATGCTCTGTCAACAACAGTTCAAAAATCAATAAATTACAGGAGAGGTAAAAACCCTGACATCACCATGAACAGGGGACACTTAATTGAGAACAGGAAGTAGATACTATGAAACACTAGTAGTCATGGTAGAAGTAGTAGTAGAGACTTTAGACTGAAGATTGTGAGAACAAGAGACAGAAGAGGAGAGAGGGCAGTTGTAGTTTGCCGTATGATGTAACACACATATAGCAACAGAAACATTGCCAAACTTTATTTTAGTAATGCAACTAATTCAGCTCAGATAGCCAAGTCTGTTTTTTGTTTTTATTATAGTGATTTTAAGGGAGTTGTGTAAGGATGACACATTTTGAAGAATCTGTCGTAACAAAACTCTTTCTCACATTAACTGTGAACATAATTTACTTTATTTCTCTCTTGTCTTCTCAGCAGCAGTAACTGGACAACGTTCAGACTCCTTCACTGTCAGAGTTGGAGATGACGTCACTTTGTCTTGTGAAAATGTGATAAAGGATCAGAAAAACTGTGACAGTACAACATGGCTCTTCAGTGATTTGAAAAATGCAGTAGCACTGTTTGAACATGGGCAGATTCACAAAGATGCCATGGCTAAATCAGACAGACTGAGTGTTCCAGCGAACTGTTCTCTGGTTATAAAGAAGGTCACAGTCGAGGATGTTGGTCGTTACACCTGCAGACAGTTTATATCAGGACAACAACAAGGTCCAGACTCTCTGGTTGATCTGTCTGTTATTACCAGTGAGTATTTACATCATAATGTTTTCAGCTCAAACTGTCTTGTTAGAACAAAATACTTGTAAATTTGACTTAATTAATAATAATTAGGATTGTAGTGGTAACGTTAAGGTTAATCTTTCCCTTACAATATCTCCATCTTCACCAGTGACTGAACATAAGGACTCTGATAAGGTGACATTAAGCTGCTCTGTGTCGAACCATGTACACACACAGTGAAGTGGCTGTATGAGGATCAAGATCTGGATAATGATAGCCAGAACTTGAAGACATCGCAGCCCACCTGGTTTGCCAATGTGACCTTTGGCACTGCAAAGAATTACAAGTTAGTGAAGTGTAATGTGAAAAGATGGTTACACTGGAAAGGTACAGCAGTTTACCTTCAGCCGTCTGTCCGCAGGTGAGAAAACAAAGTGATGAGCTGTGTAAAATCAGTTTATATGATATTACTGATATGAAAAATAAACTACATTGCTTTTAGATGGTACCATTCTTTCTCATTTAGTTACTGCAGATTGACAACAAGAGGTCTTTTATTATGCCATTGTCATTTTATTTATCCAGGAAAGGACACAAATGTAGCAACAACCATAAGAACAGTGGGAAAAAATACTGCAGTAGGAACAATCAAAACGGAATCCGCAAACAATGATAGAGCAAGAAACTCACAAGGTAATGATTATAAATCTATCTGTGTTTTGGGTGTCAAAAAGTCACGGGGAGGGAGCAGTGGGAGCAGTTTTTGTAATTTGAATTAGTAAGAAAAATATTAAATTACTGTTTCATAAGTTTATGAAAAGCACATAAATGTTTTGTATAAAAAAAGATTTTGGACAAAACAGAAAAATGGAGACAAAAGTTTTTATATTTTTATTTTCATTCCAGATTGGTGGTGGTACGTCCTTGTTGCTCTGGGTCTAGCAGCACTCTTGATAATTGTTGTTGCAGCCGTGACTTGGAGATATAAAGGTGACAATACTGATATATTTTATGGATAAGATTTTTTGATAATCTTCACTGAGAGTCTTTCTGTTGTTTTTTCAGCAAACAAAACACGGATGGATGACAACATTGTGAGTTAAAATCAACTGGCTTATACAATATTTATACCATTACAGAGCACACTGGTGTTTGTGGTAGTTCTTTTTCACTGTGTAACTGTGGTTCCATACAGCTGAAGCTGAATATGAATTGGCGCTATACAAATAAAATTGAATTGAATTGAATATTAGGAGGAGGAAAATATATTAGAATTTGAATAGAATAGAATAGAATTTGTGTGTATTGGACTAGAATCACATTACCTAGAATCACTTACTCCACCTTTAAGTACACCTATAATGCAGTCAAATGCAACCAGGACTATACCTTCTGAGTGTAAGTTTCGGCCTACAAAATGCCATCAGAGTTGAATAAACAGTATTTATTGTTGTATTTGATTATATTTTGTCAAGAGAACATATATTTATCTGCAGGACTGCAGTAGAGTTTAAGTGTGTTTGAGAATCAACACAACATGTATTACCTGGGACAATGAAACACATACAGATACTGTGTAATACATGCATCTGTTTGTCAAGGCATTGACCTCAAATCCTGCAGTGATTCAGTCCGCTCCAAAAACCAGTCAGGTCAAGGTGAGAGAACACACTACACTCACTGAAATATGTCTTTGCTCCCCAAAATATAACTTCATGAAATAGACTCTCATCTGCCTCGAAGAAAAAAAAAGGGGAAGGAAAAGTGTGACTCAACTACACCAGAATTACCAACCTACAACTGAAAGAAATCATCATGTTTTGTGACATGTTGAAGTTATAACCACATTTAGTTGGGTTGAGGGCAATCACACAGTTTTAAACTGAACATCCGCTTTGAAATCCAGGACTAAGCGGCAGTATTTAACAAGTTGGGAGAGAGTTACAACCTTGAATCAAAACCAGGAGAATGCTGAAAGCCAAATACATAATAATTATAAACAAGACTTTTCACAACATTTTAAGACACGAGACACAAAACATGACCTCCTGGCTAAAGTAAAAGAAGATAAAATATTGACTGTGATAAACTAGAATAAAGGTTTGAGAGTGAGTCCACATGTTACTGAGTATAGCCATTATGTTGTTTTCACTGTGTAGGCTGATCCTGAGATAGTGTTTCCTATGCCACCCATCAGTCTACCACCCCCAAGAAAGACCAACAGTAAATATGGCGGGTAAGATGTCATCGGTAGTGTTGGTAGTGAATGATTTTACTTTTAAATCCCTTATAATCTTATGATTGGGGTGATAAGTTTGCCTTGTTGTGTTCCACTGAGTTGCCATGCATTGCACTGGGTTTTTTAATTGAATCAAGATAATTTTATTTATCATTATACAACATAAGGTTGTACAATGAAACTAAAGCTCATAGTCCCTTCATGCTACACATGTAGAACATAACACATTTAATTTATCTCAGAATTGGATAGGATGTAAAATAAATAAAAAAAACTACATATACAGTTATTTATATATATATACACATGCACATATACCACCCCATGAATTATGCAGGGTATAATAAATTCTTGCCAGCCCGTATTTAAATTTGCATCTGGGGGAATCTAAATAGCAGCGACAATATAGTGATGATAATATTTTTCATCTTCCAGTCCATCCACTTTGAATGCGTTTGGACACCGAGCATTATCCTTGTAAACACAGAGTCTGCGTCCTCTTATATTGTCCTGAGCTCCGCACATGTTGTACTGTGTCACTTATGTCCTATAGGTTCAGGGTGGTGATGAGGCAGTGACCTACAGCACTGTGAGAGCGCCCTCCTCGTCTGCTGGAGCCTCCGCTGACCCCAACAACCTCTATGCTACCATCAACTAACCTAGACGTATAGTTATTATTTCACATGAATTCTTCATTGTTAAATCATGTCAGTGTTTATTAAAAGAGTGACTATGGATTGACTGTGTTGATTCTTGTGGAGAAATTGTCGATGAAATCCAAATGTTGGACAGTATTTTATGTTTAATCCTCATTTTGTGTAATTCATTGCTATTTTCTTGTATTATAATGTTGAAATTGTGTTTTTAGCACAACCAAGTGTTACCCTTTCTTTCCCTTGTTGCTGTAAAAAGCTTTTTTATCCAGAAGGGGAGGATGTAAGTTAAGGAGCTACAATTTAAAAGTAATAGCCCAACATGCATATGGCTGATTGCAATATAAATATGATACATTTTGCTCAGTGAACTTTCTGTCATTATTGTATTTTTATCTTTTTAAAGCATGTTTCAGTTTATTACAACTACAATATTTAACATACCTATATATATATATATAAGATATTAGAGTATACATAATCATGAGCAAGTTTGGGGAATTACAATTGTCACATGAGCCAAGGGTCTGTCTATGGAGGAGTGTGTGTGTGTGTGTGTGTGTGTGTGTGTGTGTGTGTGTGTTCACAGCTATATCTCTCACTCTGAAGTGTACACTTATACAACACAATGCCAAACACACACACATTTGTACTATCATAACTTGGTTGTATCAGAGTGAAACGATCGGAGCTACGTGCTCAGGATAAATAAGTTAAATCATTTATTGTCTATCAGCAAACACAGATAGAGAGATTGAGTGACTCCAAAACTTTAAGGATAAAATTAATTTCAGTCAGAGCACCATGTGATAAAGTGTTAACGGTTCCAGATCAACCTCCAGAGTTCTACCCACATGCACATCAACATACTTACCACTCATTTCTCAGATAGAATTTTAAGCTGCAATGAGGAACCAAAAATGCTAAAATCACTTAAATAGCATCATATTGTTCTGTTACCATATTGCACCATAAGCCTCAGACCATCAGAATCTCTGGAGGAGTTTGACTCACTTTTTGGTGAATGTGTGACATCAAACATCACTATGCATTTTTTACCTCAACTTCCTTTCCTCCGTCTCGTCTTTTTAGGATGTCATAAACAACATTCCTACAAATTATAATACAAAATCAATCAATGAGTATGAAATGAGTGAAAACTATCAGCTTGTGTCTCCTGAAATTGTCAGTTGTGCTGAGAATTAGTTCTTAAAACGCAAATACTACCCCAGTGCACAGTGAGAGAACCATGGGAACTCGTTTCAAAAGCATCAGCACTATCAGTGATATCGGGAACATGAGGGGCCTGCGTAGAGCCCAAAGAATACTAAAAGACCATAACCACACCAGCCACTGGCTGCCATCTGAGGTACACAAGCTTAAAGACAGCTGCTTCCTTCAGGCTGAGAGACTGATAAATTCTTCCTCAATATTTCAGCATCCAAATTAGTTATTTTTTATGACTCAATATTTTTTTATTTTGTTATAGCATAAAGCATAAAGGGTACTATATCAAAATTCTGTTAACAACCTAAATAAAATAACATTTAATCATTCCTTGAATTATAGACAGGAGGTACTTAGATAAGTGGATAAGTGGAGATATTCACTGTCAACTCCAACAACCCAGATTCAGATCTCAACTGAGTACTATGACGATTTCTAATGTAAGATAAGTTTATCTTTTGAGCTAAAGTTTCTCTTGTTGACTAAAAGAGGCTGTGTTTTTGTACGAGAAATTCAGAGAGATGAAAGTAGTATAGGTTCTTTCTAAGATTCAAGTCATTGTAAAGAAGTGACCTGTTACTCATAACAGGAAGTGAATCTCTCTTAAAGTTGCTTTAGTTCAGAAACTTTGACAGTTAAGGACGTGAGAACAAGAGATAGAGGGAGAGAAGCAAGATGGTTCAATTCAAATGGATCAACAAGTCTTTATTTGTGATACTGGTTCTGTTTACAGGTAAGGATATATATACATATAGATGACTAAGAGAAAAAAGACAAAACATTACTAATTGGAAGCCTATTTAACTATAAATAAGACATGTCAGCAGTTTGTTTTGGACATAGATTTTTTGAGTGGATTGTTGTATTTAATATCATCTGAATGCATAACAATGAACACAAATGTATTATTCTTTTCACAGTTATTTTTAATTAATTTCTCATCTTCAACAGCGGTAACTGGGCAAAATGTCCCCTCCTTTACTGTCGGAGTTGGAGATAAAGTCACTTTGCATTGTGAAAATGTAATTAAAAATCAGGACAGATGTGACAGTACCTCTTGGATTGCCAGTCAGTCATCTGGGGCAACAGCAAGAGAGCTGGTTACTCTTGGGAATATTAGTAAAAACAGGATTTCCAAAGATCAATCAGAAAGACTGAGTGTTACAGCGAACTGTTCTCTAGCAACAGAAACATTGCAAAACTTTATTTTAATAATGCAACTTATTCAGCTTAGACAGCCAAGTCGGCTGTTTGTTTTTATCATAGTGATTTTAACAGTCATGTAAGGATGACACATTTTGAAGCATTTGTCGTAACTAAAATCCTCCTCACATTAACAGTGAACATAATTTACTTTATTTCTCTCTTGTCTTCTCAGCAGCAGTAAGCGGACAACGTTCAACGTTCATTGTCAGAGCTGGAGATGACATAACTTTGCCTAGTGAAAATGTGATAAATGATCACCATAACTGTGACAGTACTACGTGGCTCTTCAGTGGTTCAAAAAATGCAGTAGCACTGTTTGAACATGGGCAAATTCACAAAGATGCCATGGCTAAATTAATATACAGTGTTACAGCGAACTGTTCTCTGGTTATAAAGAAGGTCACAGTCGAGGATGTTGGTCGTTACACCTGCAGACAGTT